TCTATAGCCTGTGTTTTGCAAGACAGGCTACAAAATCCTCATGCTTTCCTTCTGTCCTTAAAAACACGGGCACACGAACGTATGAAGCGCTTGGAAATGAAGCCCCAGATGCACCCACACCTCCCCTCTCCCCCCAGAACCTATAAAGGAGTTTAAATAAATCTCTCAGGTTTTGCTTCTCGGTCTCTGGAAGCAGGGAATATTGAGGCTGGGAGAAAGTGATTGAATTCGTGCCTGCAGTGGTTGGGACACGTGAGTGTTTCCTGCAGCTCTTCTGACAGGAACACAGACGTGAGCAACTCCTGTAACATCCCTGCTCAGAATTAAACCATGCTAAAATTTCCTGTGGATGGCACAGAGAGATTTTAAATCCTCACCATATTCCTAACAGATAGAACAGTGGCATGATTGACCAAACTTTTTTTTTCCTTCTTCTTTTTTAAAGTACACATATGATGATGCATCATAGTTATAAACAGATGGTATTTGGCCTCCTTCCTATTCTCAACATTTGGAATTCCTAAACTATGTGAATTAAACAATAATATTTTATAAACATACAAGGGATTTTGCTCACTGCTTTGTTAACATAGAAATTATACAATGCTGACATTTATTTAAATTTTAAAAAGTAAACAAGAGTGTGTATTGAATTAAAGCAAACTAAAATCAACAGAGAGAAATATGTTCTGTGCGCACATTACCTACAACGGCACGGGCCTTTTTCGGGGAGACATAATGGGATGAAGCACAAATTGTAGCTTAGACAGTCTGATCCTTTGTGCTCCAAAGGCTCATTTAACACCTCGCTGTAAACAACGGATATTTATACCATAATTGGCCAGTTGACCATCAGTTGTTCATTTACTCTGTAACCTGCTATTATGGAGTTAAAAGAAGTTCCTTTCTGTTGGCTTTTCTAGGAGTGAAAGTGTGTTTGCAATTTTAGTACCAACTGGATTCAGTCTAACACTTGTACTTAGTATGAGAAACATTTTCAAAATACCAAAATTTGGGGGAATAAGAGTATTCCTGCCAGGAAGGGAAGAAGAAAGTATTGGTTCTTAAAAGAATTCTGTTTGCTTGGTTTCCTCTTTCCTTTCCATTTTAACCCCTTTTTAGGCTCCTCTCGAGCTGTGCAAAATTGAGAAGCACTTAGGTTTTAATCACTATTCCCAGGTCTGCAAAGAGGTTCTGTGATGAATAAATAATGAATCCGAGATTTTAATCAGTGTTATGATTTTTGAAAAGGCTAATTATCATTGTTTACAGACATGCCTTTCCAACGTATTTCCTTGTTTTCCCTTCAAAGCTCCAAGGGTTAAGCCCCTCGCACGCATCCCTCCCATCCCTCCCCAGCGCCGCGCTCCTTGTCCGGGATTTCTTTCGGGGGCTTGGGGGTATTTTTTGTTCGCTTGGTGATTTTTGGGGTTGTGTTTTCACTGGCGGAACCGTAGGAGAGCCGGGGACGGGCGCAGGGCTGGGGGAAGGCTGCGCAACACGGGCGGCCGCTCCGCACCCGCGGAAAAGCCACGGCGGGGAGCGGGGGGGAGCCTTTCTCTTTGCTGTCTCTGCGTAGCAATGCTACGGAAGAATCTGATTTTCAACAGAATATTTTTATTATCGATAATGTCGATGATAAAAAGTGGCGGGCGGTGTGTCCGTCCCCCGCTTCCCGGGGAAACTGCGCTCCGCTCCGCTCCGCCCGCAGCGGCGCGCCGGGATGCGCCGGGATGCGCCGGGATGCGCCGGGAGCACCGCGGGGCTGCCCCTCAGCGATCGCACCCGCCTCAAGCCCCTCGCGTTATTATTATCATTATTATTATTACCATCACCATTTTTATTATTTATTATTTTTACCATTACAACTGCCACTGGCCTCGTTTAACCTCGTTTGCACACCTCCATCCTCTCGGCCGTTCACCGGGACGGGAAAAGCTTTTCCGCGGGTGGGATATTGGATGCCAAGGTCCCGTTTCCCCCCATTCCCCTCCCCTCTTTCCCCCGCCGTTGCCCGGGACTCGCGGCCGCGTCCCGCAGCCTCCTCCCGCGGGGTGGGGGAACAACTTCCAACCCCTACAGCCCTTGACTGTCAGTTTCCAGCAACAGCTGCGAACCCTCGCTAAGAATCTAAAGAAATATCAGAAGATTAGGCAGCGATGCTATTTATTGCCCTGTAATTAAAGTTCTATCAGTGTTTCTATTATAAAACCTTATTTGCAAGGGTTGGTAACTCGGAGGCAAAATTTTCCAGCAAGATGAAGCCTTGCTAAGAAGTATTTTGGTTAAATAAGGTTAGCCTGTTAGAAGGTAAAATCCTCAAGGACTTTCATTAAGGTGCTCATAAAAATATCTGCAAATACATTGCCAAGTCCCCCAAATCAAGGATATATAAGAGGAATATATATATTTTTTTTTTTTTTTTCAAAAATCAAGGACTCGTGGAAAGGTTTTAATATAATTCTCTGGGAAATTATTCCCATGAAAACAATTTGTTTGAAAGAAAATGCCCTCTGGTCTTTTCCACACAAACTAGTCTTGGGCTAGTACATGAGAACCCAACTTGAAAGTGCCTATGAGCAGAAAGGAGGTTGGTTAATTATTTTCAACTGTCCTTTCTGGAATAAAAAACAGAGTAAACAGCTTGAACAGGAAAAGGTGAATTTAATTTTCAAGGCCCTTTAACTTTTAATAATCTGAGGAACAAGATGGGAGGTACGTTCTACCCTCCCAGTTATCCTGATATAAATTCATTCAAGATTTATATTGGTGTAATAGAGAAGCAGAATTTGCTCCGTGATTTCTAATGAACTGCTGGCTCGGTCTTTAAAAACGCAATTAAAAAAATCTAACCACCTAATTCAGAACAGCTTTGAGCTGAGGCAGAGGTCTCAGTGCTGCAAGCAGGGATGGAAGCTGGTCGGTTCCACGGCTCCTTGCTGTGCCTGCAGCACCGGAGTGGGGCTAAGAATGCTGGAAACGGTTTGCTACAGAATTCCATAACTGTTTTAGGATTTTCCTTTCTATTATAAAGAAAAAGACAATTCTCCTGTGGAATAAACCTGTGTTTCCTGTGATCTCAAATACTAAAACAAAAGGATTGTAGGATTAGGTGCCCGGCCTGTTACTGATGCAAGAGGAGCTGTCTGGTCAGGGCACTGCCTGGTGAGGCTGGCACAGAGCTGGGGAAAACCCAGCTCTGACTCTGCACTGAAACTTGTCTCACAGCCTTGGTGCCGCTGTGTCAATGCAGGTGAAACATCAATAAATATGAAAGTAAGTCAAGGTTCAATTCTCTTGTTGTACTCACAGGATTAGGTGTCTGCATTCACCGCTTACTCATGTGTGCAGCAACAACGGGACCGAGATCCCACTTTGTCCCTCTGACCTTCTGAAGTGAGGGGCTGAAATGAAGCAGCGTGGCGTGACATTCTTGTTTCCTCTGCTGAAACTGAGAGGCAAAACTCTGTAGATTGTTTCAGTCTGAAGTGCTGAAGGAGACACTTTCTGGGGGAAACATCACCTCTGACTACCTGGAAGCCCTGCAAGTATCACCTCTGGCTACCTGGCAGTCCTACATCACTCTGGACTGAGGACTTCAAACAGGCCAGGGTGGCCCCTGACACATCCTATGATGTGGTAAGGACACGGGATCAGAATGGTTTGGGTTGGAAGGGACCTTTAAACTCACCCAGTTCCAATCCCTGCCATGGGAAGGGACACCTTCCACCAGTCCAGGCTGCTCCAAACCCTGTCCAATTCAACCTTGAACACTTCCAGTAATCCCTGCTCCAGAGCAGCTGTGCATCTTTGCTAAGAATGTAAAGAAGTATCAGGAGATAACACAGCATTGCTATTTCTTACCCTGCAATTAAACTCCTCACACAGTTTCTATTATAGAATGTTACTTGCAAGGCTTCATAAGAAGGGAAAAATTTTCCACCAAGATGAAACCTTGCTCACCAGACAGAGCTGGGCATGGTTGAAGTATCACTGTCAGTAAGTTCAGCAGGGCAGAGCTCCACCTCACCAAGAGCTGGGTGAGACCTCCTCTGGCTGTGGGGCTGATGAGGGTGTGCCCTGAGGACAGCAGGAGCCCTTGAGTGCAAACCACACAGCTTTGATGTTTTGAGTCTGCTCACCACAAGCCCGAGTGCAGCATTACAGCGTCTCCTATTTCCCTTTATTGGTTTGGAGAATGACTCACTGTCGTACTTGAAGCAGTTTGCTTCAACTGCACCATGCCTCAGTTTCCCCAGCAGTAAAGCCAAAAAATATTCCAGTTTGCTGGTGCAAGGTGTGATGACATTGGTGAAGATTTGTGATACACTCTGGCAGGACTGCAAGGCAGTCCTGTTCCTTGGGTCTTGATGACCACCAGACCTACACTCTCGAGAGGACCACGTCTACCCAACCACAAGTAGTGCCTAAAACCAAGCTGGGCTTTAGCTGAGCAGAAAGGAGGAGGAACCTGCATGCAGAGAGATGATAACTGCAAAATTACAACTCTGCTGCAAGGAGAATAACCAAACGCTTTCCACTGGGTGTCCCTGGGTTGTTTTTGGTTGCTTCATGGGGTAATTTCAACAAGAAGTAACACATGCTCTCTCTCACGCTGAAAAATGACATTTCAGCTTCTTGATGCTGTCAAAAGTCACAAAGACACTCGTGGGGAGGGAGACCAGCCTGTACCTTTCACCCCTTTCAGGGAGAGGAGCTGCCCTGTCTGATCCAAGGGAAGCTGAGACCACACCTGACAGCAGAGACAAGTCTCACCAGGTTTCACATCATAACACCTTACCCAGAGTCCTCTTCCTGCTTCTTCCTAGAGCAGAGTTCAAAATGTTGGAATTGCCACAAGGTTTTATTATTGCTTGCAAACCAAACTCTACTTCATCAGATAAAGACACAATTGCATTCATTGACTCTGACACAAGGATATGCATGGTGATAAACATACAGATAGATGTACACACTTATACATGAATGAGATATGCTAATTAAAAATTGCAGTGGGCACTTTATTAAAAATTTATTGTACAATCTACATCTTCAAAACATTTTACATCAACAAATATTGCGGCTTGACTGCTGGAATCATAAGTGATTTATCTTTAAAAGACTGTATTTGCAACTGGATGCAAAGATTCTTGATGAACTGCCATTACATTTAAACTACTGGTTTTTATTGGAAGTATTTTGATTGTTATCTGTTTGTTCTCCATCCTTGAGAGAAATAAAACAAGTGTCTCGGCTTTCATTTTATCGGATAGATGGCACCATGTAGCATATTTCCCATGCTAGTTTGAATTACAGCTGTTTATCTTTCAGCTTTCTTTAAGATTAATTAAATGCAAATGTAACTCCACGAATCATGGGATTACCTGCCAGACCCCTTATTAATACCTTCACTTAAAAACCCCTTTGCCAGAGAGTCATTAATTTGCAATAAAAAAAAAAAAAAAAAAAAAAAAAAAAAAAAAAAAAAAGAAAAAGAGAGAGAAGTGCTCAAGCAGCCCTTTGCCTCCCAACAACCCGGAGATGGCTGCCCAATTAGTCCGGCAGCATTCGGATCCTCCTTTCAGGCCCTGTGGCCCTTTGAGGACACAATAAGGCTCCAATGATAACCTGGCAACCTAGGTAGAAACTCAGCCAAGTGTGAGCGTTTGAAGCTGCAGCTTGGCTGCCATCGTGTCGGCGAAAAGAAAGAATTCAGGCACCATGTCATCCAGTACAAAGGATAAAAACAGATTCAACCGGAAATTCAATGTGGCACCACATATGGGATACATGAGTGCGGTTACACAACAGGCCACATATTTTTTTTGAACAGTCTCCTGCATGTGATGCCGAGGACATGTGTAACCATCATAACGTCTCTAAGAATCTGTATTTAATTTGAGCTGGGGTGGTGGCAGGGATTGGAGATCTGAAGCCGCCACAGGTTTGTGGCAGATGGCTCTGTGTCAGCTATGACAAGCAGCCAGGCTCGGCTTCCTCTGCAGATTTTCTTTTCTCTCTGATCAGGTAAATATGGGCACACTCTGGAAACTTCCACAATTCTGCCTGAGGCTGCAAGTTTGTGACTTAGCCCCATCTGTCACAAATCTTCCCTCGGTTCTGCTGCGAGCAGAGACCTGAATTTACTGCCGAGCGCTGCCCAAGAAAACCCGGCCGTCTCGCCCTGCGAGGAAGCACAAGAGAGAAGCACACGGAACCGTGTTAGAGGCTGGGACACAAAATGCAATAAGGATTTCAGAAGGGGTGGAAGTCAGTTGGTCAAAGAACACTTAAATGCTTTTTAAAAATTCAATGGGTTTTTTTTTAAGACAGGTAAGCTGGTCATCAGACCCAGGTTATTTGCTCCCTCTGCTTTACTGGTGGTCTCAGTGGACATGTCAAGGACTGAACACCCTCAGGGACAAATGTGCCCCTCTCACCCTCAGACATGGAAGAACCATGAGCCAGCACCAGCAGGAGCAGGGCCTAGTTCTCCATCATCACCCTGGGCTTTATTAGAGAATAATATTTATTTTTTAATTTTTTTTTTTGAGGAGTGATAACTCTGCAAAGATCTGGACATTCATTTTTTCAAGGAATAAAATTCCATCACTATCACTCCATCAACAGTTCCTAAATATGTGGAGATCAAAAGAAGAAAAGTTTTCACATAAAGCAGTACCTTCCCATAAAGAACAAACAGCATGTCAGTAGCAGAACAGTATTTTTCATTAAATAATCAACTTCTTTCTACTGTGTTGTAGTGTTCTTCAAACTGAAACACTTAATATCTACTCTGCCATCACTGGACTTCAGAGTTAACCTTTAGAATTTAATAAGGAGTCTTCATCCATTAAGACTGGCTCTTTCAGGACAGTTGGAGTTCAAGCACACAGTATTGATTTAGTGTAGATTTTATGCACTTTTTAAAAAATCACCTTAACAAAATTAAGATTTAGAGACTAATTTTCCACACAAAACCTTTGAGTTTTGGCAGGCAAGGCTGGAATGATTTACAGAGCCAATCTGTATTGGGTCAGATCTACTCTGTGATCCAGCTCCTTCTCTCTGCAAGTGAATAAGGGGGAAGAATCAAGGTGGAAAAGAATTTGTAGCAATTATTTCTGGAGTTCAATTTTCAAACTCCATTGGAAATTCCACCTTTGGAAAGCACCATCAAAAGAGACTGTAGCTTTACACGAACTGGGTGCACTGTGAGGCCCAAGGCAGAGCTAGTAATACACCTCAGCACAATAACAGTATTTCCCTGACCAAACTGGTCTGTTCTGCAGCTTCTTATATTGGCCTTTTAAAACTTACCTCATTCTTGCTGTCTTTAAAAAAAAAAACACATCAAATTTTCAATGCAAATCTATGCAGTACCTTGCATAGGATGGCTCAGAACACACTGACTGACTATAACAGTAGGAAAACAGTTTCATGCTTTTTTCCCCCCAAGGTAATTTGAATAAACTGTACTGCAAAAGGAAAAAAAAAAAAAAGTTTTCACGCTTTTTGCAACTTTTCTTCCTATTTCCTTTGACCCATTTCTTCATCTACTGTTTTGAAGTGGCTGTGGCTCATCTGCCAGTTTTCATTTGCTCTCTAAAACTCCCCTGGAAGCTATCTAATACTGTCAGAATGGAAAGTTCCAAATCCTGGTGTTTATGCTGAGAGTTGCCCCCATAACTGCTTTAGTCCTACGCTGCAAGTGCAGCCAAAATCTGGGGACATGGTGACCACGAAATGTTGGATTAATGGTTGTAAGGGTCTTTCCCAGCTTAAATATTTCTATGGTTCTGTGATTTTCAGAGAGCTGGAGTCTACTGGTTATTTACCTCAGAGAACCAAGAGCAAGACAAGCCCAGAGAGAAGTTCAGGTGCAGGCCACTTACACACATATATATCTGCACATACATCCATTTCTCTATGGCTGGATCCCAAAATTAGGCAACTCCAACTTCCTTCCTGCCAGCTCATTTCTTCCAGTGAGGATCCATGTTAGCCAGGCTGACCTCCCTCTATCACAGTTACTTGAAGACCTAACATTTACCCAAAATGCTTAAATTGTGTCCCACAGCCCAGCACCCCATCCCACCTGTGCAAACTCCTAAGCTAGAGAAGGGTTTCACTGTACCAGCCAAACACAGGGAATGGAAAGTGTCGAGACTTGAGTCTAACCTGGATGTGATCCTGAGCAACTTAATTCAAGTTTGAAGTTAGATCCTGCTTTGAAACTGGCCCTGCTTTGAGCAGAGGCTGGGCTGGTGACCTCCAGAGGCATCTTTCTTAACTAGTCTGCGATTCTGTGTTCCAAATAAGAAACGGAAGTTTTCTTTCACATAAAAAAATCCGTATGTTTTACCTATTTTCCTTAGGATCACATGCCTAAGCACGGGAACAGAGATGGGAGAGCATGGACACAGAGCTCTGCACTCCAGAGTTCCTGTAACCTTTCCCCACAGACTTTGAGAAGCAGATCTAAACCGCCTCTGAAACCATTCTAAATCACGTTCTCTGGAAACTGAGCAGCTCAAGAGGCAAATGCAAGTTTCTCATTTGTGTTTCTAACCTCCTTCTGACCTGAACCTAATGCTAGCCAGGTAAAAGCAGAAATTCAATACAATGCTCTGCTAATGAACAGAAAGCCTGCAGGATGGATGGAAATACTTGCACTATTTGCATACCCTATAAAGCTCTGAATTAACTTTATCAGCCCGGGACAAAAGATCTGTACAGAACACTGTAAGCAAACATCTGCTCAATATACATTCACCATTAAAAAGTAAACAGTAGGATTGGCTCCATAAGGAACAGGTTGGGAATTATCAGAGTACTATACATCACATAAACTGATGGCACAGCCTAGAATTCTCTAAAGCAATGATCACACCAGTACAAAAACAGTTCTCAAGCATCAGAATGTCTTGAATGATGAGAGATTAGAATATAAACATGGAATAACATTCAGAAGGAGAGACTGAAGAGACTGGATACTGTAAATGTTTGAAAAATGTTTATAAAATAATGGATGGTACAGTAAAGATGGATGGGAAGTTCTTGCTTCCAAGTGACCAAATCCAGAACAAGAAGACACTCAACACAACTGAAGGTTGGGAAAACCTGAGCTAATTAAGGAAAGTATTTAAACACCATCATAAACACATTGTAGAATCATGGAATGGTTTGGGTTGGAAGGGACCTTAAAGACCATCTCATTCCAAGCGCCTGCCATGGGCAGGAATACCCTCCCCTAGACCAGGTTGCTTAGGGAAAAATTTCCTTCCCATGGAGTTCTGCTGGGGATTGGGTAAAGATAAAGGCAGAGGCACCATCCCTGGATTTCACATGGCCTGTACAGGAACTGTGAACAACAGGGCTGAGTGGCTGATGGGACATCTGGCACCAGGCTCCTCTGCATCCTCACGTGCCCAGTGCCTTGTATCTTACACTGAGAATGCCTCCTGCTGCTTCCCTAGCTTTGCCTTAATATGAAAGCTGGACCAGGAGCAGTTTTCCCTTCTACACACTCCCCTGAAATACCCATGATACTGCTTTATCTCAAATCAGAGAAAAAAGAAAAGGAAAGAAGAAGAAAAAAAAGAAAGTTTTGTTTGTACTGTCCTATACAGCCAAATCCTGAGACTGGAAACAATTCACATGTCTATGGTCTAACTGGGATCTTAATTTGATTTTACAGCAGTTTAATCCCTTTGAATTCAGCAGACTTCCTTCTACAGTGGTGTCAGAAAGAAAAAAAAATCATGCCATGTGTCTTTTCATAGGCAGGTGAGCTTCTGTAGTGTGATGGAAATGAGAAGATGAATGTCAGAAAGTGGGCCAAATTCTTTTCTCCGTTAAACAAGCATGAGTGAGAGTAGGATTTTTCTGTAGGAACTGAAGCTGACAGCATGTCAACCAGCACTCATTCAGCTGGGAGGGCTGGGAGAGATTATTTAAAGTTGTCAGCTCCTTCCATGCCTGGCTTTTGGCAACTCTTCTTGTCCCTTTCCACTGTATACTCTTTATACATGCTGTTTTAAATTAAGAAACTCAAGTGAGGAAACTGAAAGGTAAACTTTAAGAAAATAATGCAGAAACAAATGCTTTGCCCTATTTTATTTTAACTTTAAATCTACTAGATAGGGCACTAACAGGTCCTGTGGTGTGCCCTGACCAATGCCCTGTTGCTGTTATTTGCTTCATTCTGGTGCTTACTTTGGCAACCAAAACCACCCAGAACTAGAGTTTGTCTCCATGAAACTGGAACAGAACAAATAATTGATAACAAATGAGATTTGCTTCTCTCTCATCTCAATCTTCTGCTAATAACTGGCAGAAGGCAAGGTTGAAATGCAGATGAGCCAGCCCTGAGTGCTATGTGAATACTCAGGGTGAGTAATACATCATCTGGAAAGGTTTTCATAGGTGCTTACATTATGGACATTTTAAAAAGTCTGCCAGCATGAATCTGCTCTGTGGAGTTATGCTACTACAGTTTAATGCCTTGGTCTGTGCATTTTCACAGGGATGCTCCCTATGTCCCATCCCTAAGCCCACTGCCCTGCTGCCATTGATCTCCTTTCTGCTACTAATTTTGTCAGCACCAGCATTGAGGACATCTGAAGGAATAAACTGCCTGTTTAATTAGCCACTGTCTAATTATTATAGATATCCTGAGTAATAAAATTCCAACAATATGTAAAAAGATAAGCCAAGGTGATTACTTCCCAACTTGTGGAGAAGAATCCCCAACCAGCAGAGAAAAACACAATTTGCTTTTAAAGCATTTCTACTTCCAAAATTTCACAGATACTCAAAAAACTCAATGCAGAGGATATGGTAGGATGGTTTCTGAAAGAGAAGGACCTGGTTATCGCTGACTCTTGTGCTGGGATCCCTTTTCTAGTCCACTAAAGCAGAGATACTATTACAGTCATCTGAAAAAATGTGAAAACACGGTGCAGGTGCTGCGTAGCCTTCAGGATTTCACTCTGTTCAGCTTCCTTACAAAGCAGCATCACTCCAGCTGTAATGGCCATAACAGCACAGCTCTAAGCTAACATTTTCCAGGAGGTTTTGTGGATGGTCCACTGTGAAGGAAGACTAGGTGTACGTGGGTGTAGGCACAAAAGGACAGATCTAACAGTATTCCCCGAGCTGATCCAAAGCCTATTAAAGACAACAGGGATATTTCCTCTGATGCTCACAGGTGCTGGATTAGGCTCTGCTTTCCTCATTTTAAAACAATCCCCCACTCAGCTCCATTGCTACCTGTTGCAGAGGTGCAGCTCTGACACTCAGAAGACCTGCAAACCCCGTGCATGAGGGGCAGGATAAACACCTTCAGCTTCTGCCTACTAATCATCCCTAGGAATTTGTAAAAAAAGAGAGAAAAATCCTTCAAGCAAATCAGCATTTTGCCTACAGGGCTTGTGTGCACATTTTCGACCTGTACTATTTTATATCAGTATTTTCTGCATGCCTTGGCTCTGTGTTCAGGATCCATGTGGGAGAAGATCCATGTGAATGCAGCCATTAGCTGAGCTTGAAGCATTGGGAAATGCCAAGGTAAACATTTAAGGACTGCTTTCCCTTTGAAGCCCCCATGTCTAACTCTATGATACTATTGACTCAAGAAGTAATGCTGAGCACTGGAAGTGTTCAGTCAGCATTTTAAACTATTATGAGCTACCTTCTGAACCATTGCCAAGTTAATAGACAATGAAAGATAATGAGCTTGAAATTGGGTGTTAAATTGCATTTTTGGTTCTCTCCTTTTTTTTTTTTTTTCTTAAGGTTTAACTGTTTCCTGCAGAAACAGCATCATCTTTGATGTATCATTATGTAAATGCCTATTTTTAGGTCACAAAAAAAGTCAAGGCATGGGCTAAGCCCTCACTGCTCCTGCTAGGTGTGTGCGGGAAGGGGGAGAGAGGCAGATGAAACACATCAAGACCCAACTCTTTCTGGTCCCCAGAGGGAGGGAGGGAGGTGGAGGCATGAGGTTGGGTCTGTTGACAGTATGAGACTCCAAATTAAGGAGGAGATTACTCGACCTGCTCGTTAACACTGAGGCTGGACGGTGACAGCCAGGGAACGCTCCAAGAACCGCATTTGTGTCGCATGGGTTAACACGAGGAGTATTTCCATGCACCCCCAAGCCTTTAAGGACTTTCAGCTGAATTCAGGGGTTTGCATGAGCTGAAACACTTCTGTCGTGCAGGGATGATGTGCATCCAACCTGCCCACGGCAGAGAGCGGACAGTAAAAGTCAAAAACCGCTGTAAATATATGAAGCAGTACGAAGCAGAATGCAAAAACCTGCAGTTATTCTTCTGAAAACAGCACTGTGTAGTAACAGCTCTTCACTGGAATAATGTAAAATTTAGTGCTTCATCTACATTCAAATTAAAAAAAAAAAAGAAAACTGTGATCCCCATTAGTGTAAATACACCACTTAAAACCATGAAAGTCGGCCTAGCATAGAACACTCGAGCAAAACCTGAACAGAGAGTTTGCCACTGAACCTGGACTTTCTCTACAGAAATAACTGCAAAGAAGGGGACATGATAAATGCCAGTAAATTATGCTCCCAATAAACTTTAATGCTCAACACACCTTATAAAGCAAAGAATTAAAATAATTATAATTATGAAAATCACTCAAATAATTCCAGAAGCCAAAGAAATCTTACCTGATACCTGTTACCTGCATTTTTTGAAGATTAAATTAGGATAGGAAGGTAGGCATATCCTCATTAGTATAATTGTAGGATCTTTCTTTTATTTTCCTTTTAAACTAATGAGTTGCATTAATCCAGGTTCATTTTTATAAGCCTCTTGGGTCCAAATGTAAAGGACAGTCATTTTGGAAAACAGTAAATTAAAAAAAAAACATGTAGCATGCATTAAGTGCACGTATTTCATAAGACCTAGGTTAATACAACTGGCATCCAGTTTAATTAATCCTTGTTAGTGTAACGACTAATATCCCTCCCTAGCATGTTTCCTTTAAACATTAGTATGTTAATTAAATGTTGTTTTTTTAAGGGTTTTTTTTTTTTTCCCTTTGTACTTCAATATGGCATTATATCATCTAAAACTATTCCAAACAGCTACCTTATAGAGATGTTTCCTTACAATATCTGGTCTCTTGCAGAAATTCTGAAGCCTTTTTAAAAGCTGTTCAGGTGTAGAATACAGATATTCAGCTGCAGGAAAAACAGATACATTTTTAATGAAACAAAAACCTCAAAGCACACACTCGATATTAGTCACTTTACTAATTAAAAATGCATATTGCTCTGTGCCGCCTCGTGTTTTACATTATTTAAGCATGATTTTATAAGGTTACCTCAGCTCACAAGGATGTTTAATGCTAAATAAGACTGTGTAGTTGTGCTGTTTAGACATCTCCTTTGGGTGATTAAAATACATTATTCTAATGTAACACAATGCATATGTGATACATTTAGTGATGAGATTTTTCAAAGAACTGGTACTACATTAGTGTGTATCCTGTACTGCAGTTGCATACTATTAACTATTAAATTGTTTAAATAATTTGGTGTGATTTTTTTTTTTCCCCTCTTCTGTGAATCAAAAAAAACCAAAAAAAATCTGCAAACCATTGAGGCATCAGTGACCTTTTAACAAAAATCTATCATTACGGGATGTGTATGCTAACAATGAAGAATGCTATTTCAAAACTTGCTTTTGTGATATCTTAAAAGAACAGATGGCAAATATAAACTTCGTCTAATGTATTAAAACACATAAAATTTGCTTTAACACTAACATGTTGGCTTGCCAAATAAACAATTGCTTTCACTCAAGTTTCTTCCCAAACTTTGGATTTTAGCAGGAATCACGTTATTACGTTTCAGCAGAAGGAACAGGCAACAAAGCAGCTACCTGGGAATATCTCTGGGTACACCAAGGCTTTGGGACACAGCGGGTAACAGCCACAATGCACAGCCTCGATCCTGAGGATTAGAAATCACAAATATACAAAAATAGACATTAGTCAGCCAAAAAACTTATTTCCGTGCAAAAGCCTTGAGGTTGCCTGCATGCAGCAAGAGGGAAACATTTTTTTTTTTTTTTTCTTCAGCAGCATAATCCTTCTAAATGCCAAAGTTGCTCTTTTTAAAGAAAATTTTATTGATCATATGAATTACATAGAACAGAACAGCGAGCATATGTTTTGTTCGCTGAATAAATCAAAGCGCAGCTCTGCATTTTTTTGTTTTTTAAATACTGTTTAACACATTTTATAATCAGCAGACAGACACATGTAACAACATGGTGAAGTATGGACGGCTTTGCTTAATAATGCTGCTGGGAAACAAGGGGCACGTTGGCTACACCATGGTGTGCTCGCAGACACACACACACACACCACCCTCACCTGGCGCAGCAGATATTCCCCTCAGACTTCCAGACTCCAAAGGTTACAGCTAAATATAACAGGGGAACAACTTGCAGCATGCTCCAGGCTGGGATATTTCAGCTTATTCACATGCTTTGGATAATTTCCTTTATTTTTCGGGACATAAACTGTTGTATTTTTTAATAACCGCTGATGAAATTCCTTTGCCAAAGCGCGCGAAGCTTTGTACTTGGCTTTTTTTTTTTTCCCAAGGAACATTTTACCTATCTCCCATAACATCAAACCCAAATATTTTAGAATTGATGCAAAGTTTTCCAGTTGCAGAGCTGTCCCCCTTGGAGTTCACATTTTAACAGCTGAATGGGTTAAAGGCATCCAGGTTTCACTGTATTTTTTTCACATAATGACCATTGATCTGACAACAACGTCTCTCCAAAGATACAACTGTAATTTCTGTTGGCCAGAAATTACACAGTGAAATTCAAAACGCTTCTTAAAATATGTTTATTTTATGAGAGGCTTTGAATTTCCTCCAACATGTTGACCATACGAGGACTTTATTTTTAACTTCAGTTTCTCTCATTCCTCACAATAAAAAAAAAAAAAATCTGAAATCTTGTCAACGTTCACCTTTTCTATTTTCAGTGACAACCCAAAGACTTTTGCTACCTTCATGTATCAGGTTTGGTATTTTATTGCAGGTACCCTGAAAGGACTCTATTTCTTTCAGATCTACTCAATTTTAAACAGTTAAAAAAAAAAAAAAAGAATTTAAAGAATAACATATTCAGCTTTCATGCTAGAAAACTATGCATATCCACAAACCCCAAAGACACATTTCTCTGCAAGTGCTTTTG